GTTGGTAAACAAGACTTGCTCTATCCTTTGATAAAATTTTCATGTCCTTTTCTTATACAGGGTGTTAACTACAAGTGATCAAAAAAGTGCAATTTCAAAACGATTATTTAAATGTGACACCCTGTATTTTTTATCGTATAATACTATCAATTATTTTTGTTTTAAATGTACAAAAAATTGCAGTTTTAATAAAAATTAAAAAAAGCTTTCAAATTTGAACTTTACGAAAAAGAAGAAATAGGGTAAGTCCGAGAGAGACAGGACACATTTTGAAAACTCTACTGTAAATTATGATCTTTATTTCAGTTTAAACCACGAATGTTCTGTCTCACATGAAAATCTCAATTTAAAATTAAAAATAATTAAGATTTACTTTTTTTTTCAAAAAACAAATTTCTATTAGCTTAAAAAAATTTCGACAACCCAAATTTTTGTTCCATTTTTTGTTTGATATATTAAACAATGCTATAAAAAATGCCTTGTTTTAAGAGTTTTGAAACTCTTAAAAGTGTGACACCCTGTAGGTATATTTTTTTATCGTAAAATACTATTAATTCTTTTTTTTTCTAAACGTACAAAAAACTACAGTTTAAAAAAAAATTAAAAAAAGCATTCAAATTTAAACTACGAAAAAAATAGGGTAAGATCGGGAAAGATGGACTACATTTTTAGAAAACCTACTGTAAAGTTATGATCTTTATTTCAATTCAAACCACGAGTGTTTTTTTTTTGGTGTAAAACAACTTATAAAAGTAAGACAATTAAAAAAAAAACATTATTTAACACATAAAAAAAAATGATATGTATCTTTCCCGCTGGTCTATCTTTCCCGAACTTACCTTATTGACCGGAAATATTAATAACCAATATTTTTCCAAAAAAAAAATTATCAGTCATGTGATAAAACCTTTTATCAATTCAATTAAAAAAAAAATGCAAAATCTTACATATCACCATATAAAACACCACACATTTATAAATAAACCCGCGAGCACACATATATGGTACATCACTAGACGTGAACTTGAAGAAGAAGAAGAACCATGAACCATACCATTGTTCCAATTCTCGAGAACCTCACTCTGCTTCTCCCAGTCGTGGATATTGACAGATCGACCAGCTCGTACCCGTGGTCTTCCTTTCACGTTCCTCTCCATGATGGTCCCAAAAACACTCTCTTTTTTCACGCATATTCACACATTATTTAATATTTTTTTAAAAAAGACGCGTTTCGTATGGCGACGTCTACGTTTCTAACAGTTCGTTAGCTCGACACGACGGACGTCGGGACGCTCATTGGACACGAGCCAAACACTAATAAACCAACGGTTATTCACACACCTTTTGTGACCAGAAATTAACATGCGATAAGTGTTATCTATGCGATAAAAATTGATGCAAGTTTTACCAAAGTCAGATTTGAACTAAATTGTTGCGAGTTCATCCAAACGAATCGAGTAAAAGTTATACACCATCAAAGGCTTTCTATAACTCAATCACTAATTTAATTAATTAAAACTGTTAATTTTTTGAAGAAAAAAAAATCAAAAATATTTAAATATCTCGAAAACGGCTAAACTTAGGTATAGGGAAGTCTGATAAAAACCCCCTCAAAATCACCTGAGTAATCCAAAAACGCAATAAAAAACACAGCTTTCCATTTAAAATAACGAAGTTGATAGCCACTTCCGGTATAACCGGAAGTGGCGCCATCTTGAAAATATTTTCATTCAACAGGGCCTAACCAATTATGACTATATACCAAATTTTGGATAAATATAAAAATATAAAACAAAACTATTTCTAATGTAAAGTTTAGCTGGAACACCCTGTATACCCCTCTTAATTAAAAAAAAAAACTGTTAACTCGCAAAAAAATAAATATTTGAGTAAATTTTAAAACAATGCAACTGAATTAAATTTAATCCAAGTTTGTGTATATAAATTTCACAAGACTTAGTTATGAAATATTTATTTTATTCAAAAATTTACACAATGAAGTCGATTTTCACGCCTGGAATTCTTCAATGAAGACACAAAATATAAATAGACATCCATTTATAAAGTGGAGAAAATGCGAACTATTTTCGTATAGAAGGTTTAGTTGAAATTTTTCATTCCGTGATGAGAAAATCGAATTTAAACGTGGATCAATAAAACACGACCTCACAATCACATTTGCAAAAACTTTGTTTTTTTTTATTTTTTTTACCTAAATTTTTTACAACTCAATTCAAGCAGTTTTCGGAGACAACTAAAACTCGTCCTATTGCAATACAATCGACTAATAGGTGCGCAAGCGTTTTTGTTTTACTTAAAAGGAGTGGCCAGATAATATTTACCTAATCCATTAATTTTATTGGAGGAAAAGAAAAATTAAAACTCAAAAATGTAGACAAAATTATGTTTTTTAGTAGTATACTAGGTGAGGTCCACCTCTTTCCATTAAAATAAAATTATGAAATTAATTAATTAATGTATAGTATATCACACTAAAGTTGAGATATAACCTTGAAAAAAAAACTATATAGAAAAATTTTACGATTCTATCGTAATTCATGACAAAATAAATGCTTCAATATCAAAATGGTAAAAAATATTACTATCCATTTTGACGTTATTTTATCAAAATGTTAAAACTCAAAAATTAGCCAAAATTCTGTTTTTTAATAGTATACTAGGTGAGTCAAGTTTTATGCCCACCTCTTTCCATTAATATAAAATTAAGAAATGAATTAATTAATGTATAGTATATCACACTAAAATTGGAATATAAGCATGAAAAAAAACTATATAGAAAAATTTTACGATTCTATCATAATTTATGACAAAATAAGTGCTTTAATATCAAAATGGTAAAAAATATTACCAACGTACTTTATCAAAATGTGCCTATAGGCAAAAAATCTTTAACTTTAAAGCATAATTAATTTAAAAATTAACCAAAATTTGCAAAAAACACCCATATTTTTTTACAATTTAATTTAATAAGAAATTGGTGTTGTGGTATAAAACGTGACTCACCTGGTATTTAAACCAAGGTCACAAGGCTGTGCAAATCGCAGTTGCATAAGCAACAAATAATAATTTACATCGTTGCTATGGTTACTCACTCATATTTGCGCCTTAAAATTCCGCCCTCTTCAATGTTGCCAACCTAACTTCAAAATCATAGACAAACTGAGGGTATAATTAGTATCATTTTTTTTTTTATAAAATTTTAATGTTTCATATTTAAAATGCTACCAACATTGTAAAAAAATACACCACCATTATTTTCAAAGAAATACTTTAAGAAATCTGTCATAAACACAGAAAAACAATATTTCTCTATTTCTACTTCCAAATTTCCAATTTTTTATTTAAGATTGGATTATTAAAAAATCACTTCTTATCAACGAATTAAATAAAATTCTTAAAATTTGAAACATCATTGGTTTATTTTTTGAAAAAATTGAAGTAGAATTTAATCAATGTTCAAAATCACAGACTAACTAAACGTATAGAATTTTTTCATTGTTACCAACGTTGTAAAAAATACACTACTATTATTTTCA